AATAAATTTCCTTATAAAACGTGATCAGCACAAAATCTGGCAAATTTATTAATTAATTCAACAAATGGTTGTTGAGTTTTTAGTATGTTCCAGAGGACCTAGTCCTTGTTTCACAAATATTATTTGCAGAGCTGTGGCAGGCTGGCAAGTTACCGAGAACATTAATGTCATTGGAGGATGCAAATATCCTCACTGTTTACTTTTAAGGACCATCTGTGGTGCTCTCTATTTTATAATCCATGATGCTCCCCTAAGCGTAGTGTAGCTGTTTATTCCTAGCTTTGTTGTATGATAGCCTGGGCTCAGGTTTCCCACCATTATTTAGTAGCCGTGATCTTGGGATAGTTATTTACCTTTATTAGTTTCAGCTATTACATCTATAAAATTTGGATAATACCTACCCCACTGGAGATAGGTGAGAGAGATCTTATGTAAAAGTGTCTAACCACACAAAATAATGGTTTAGCCTTACATGTGGATACACGAATACCCACAATCCAGACCTACCCTCAAGGAAATTTCAATCTTGTAATAAAGTTATTTTCTGGATTCAAACATGGGAACTTTGACATATTAGGTTGACCGTGATTACACAAGAAAAATTGAATGGCTAATAAAGTTTTTTTTTAATAACAAAATCTTTTGTAGCTTATTTAGGGCTCAATAGCTAAATTTGTCCCTAGGATGTCCTCATCCCCCAAGCATTGAAATAGAAGTTAAAATCACGCATATCTAAATCCTTATCAAATAAAAAAGTGCTAATTTTTTATATCATCACATATCGCTGATCTTTCTGAAGGAATCAGGCAGAGATGAACTAAAGTATACCCAACTGAGGTGCACATCAGAATTCCGATTGCTGTTCTGAATATTAAGATGGAATGAGGACCAGAGTATCAAAGTGTTTGTGAAGAATCTACGTTTTGTAGCCAAATTACACATCCTCAAAGCATAGCAATTGTAAAGTTGGATCAGAATTTAATCAAAGGAAAAGGTATTTAGAGGATTTCATGAGAAGCCCCTCAGCCAAGATAATTTAAAGAACTGTACTAGAGCTTGTAAAAAGTGCTAGAATACTGAGACTATTGGACAAGACTTCCTCCCTCGTGGTGATTGCAGGATACACATTAAACAAGTTCTATATCTTCTAGTTTTTAACATTCTTATGCCATGATATATGCCATAGGTTTAACATGCTAATACAGCCCAGCTTTCATAGAATATACAGTGATTACATATTGAAAGGAAGATCCTCAGAGGTGTGCCTACAAAGTGTTATATAGTGGTACACGGTTGATGTTTTTAGAACTCATTCACTACCCCGCTGACTCTTTTAAATATGTAACTTAACTTTGAGAGAACAATCTAGTTTCCCTTATTAACAAATTTTTGAGGAATATCTCACCATATTCTCCAAGTACTGACAGCACTGTTCAGATGTCAATCCAGTGAATTTTATATTATGCTTTTAATTGGGTTTTCCAGTTAGAAATAGAGGCTATTATAGTTTGCAAAATTTTGTAACACAACATAAAAACTATGAAATAAATAAAAGAAACTTCCAAGGTTTGAAAAAAAAGACACCAAGATATAAGTATAATTGAATTGGAAATTTTGTAACCTAAGGATTTTGAAACATATATTTATGAAAAAATGTTTTAAAATGTTAAAAATATGTGTACCAAGTTCTTTAACCCATAGAGTAAGGAATGATTAAATGTATCATTAGGACAAAGAGAAAGTTAAGGATGGTTACCCAACCAAGTCATACTTAATCACAAAGTTAATGAACAGTGTCCTAAGTAAAATTAAAGTCAGATATATCTTTTCAGAAGAATTCAAAATTAGTATTACATAAAGCATCAGTATATTATATTTTACCTCATGGTAATTACAAGCATCTAGACAACTTGAAAATTTTTTGTACTTATAAATTTTATCTTTAGGAGTTTGGGATAGAAGAATACTATGAAGTAGCTTTTCTAAAATATCTCCAATAGTAAAATATTGCATTCAAATGAGCATAAAGCAATGACAGATTCATGTAGGGTGTTCATATGTTCAATACAACAATCATGCAATAATCACAATTAAGTAACTTTAGAACAATGCAATATCACATCAAGAAGCAATATAGAGATGTTATGAAACAATTTCTGATGCTGTGTGATGTATATTAGTAGTCATACTCTGGGAAATTATCAGATATCATTGAACTTATGGATAAAGCTCTCCATATGGTTCTTTAAAATTATTCTTTCCATCAGAATAAAAGTCCAAAAATTTGATGCATTGGTCTTATTCATTATACTCATGAAAAAAAAATTATCAAATCAGCAGGTATCTGTATCTCAAAAATAGGTATAATGAGGCAGTTTTTGAAATGATATTTCTGAGCACTTCAGTAGAGCAAGCTGGGTAAGAAAGGCTAAGAATTTTGAATCTGGTTCTTTGCACAGCCAGGAGGCCTTAACTGCCGGTTGATTTTCTTAGAATCCTTTAACCCTTCCAATTCATTTTTGTTTCAGTTTAGCTATTTTTGACACTGACATCAAGTTAGAATGCTCCGACAAAAACATTTTTGTTAGTATCCACATAAACTGTCACTAATAAAAACCTGAATTTAAATATGATCATTTAGATTAATGGTATTATTAATTAGTACTATTTCATTTAAATATACTTGAACACTCATTGTTTGGGGTTGATAATATTTATGTTTGTGCCAGGAAGAACTAGAGGGCTGATTTCCTCTGTTACAGATTTTCCATTATTTCCATCTTTTGTCTTTTCTTTTTAATGGAACTTTTAAAAAAATTATTGTAGTAGGAAACACTATTGCCATATACACATGTTATCTTCTACAGGATAATTTTAGACAAAAAAAGTAAAAGCTGTTTTCCATTTATTTTTCTTGTTTAAATATATTCAGGCCCATAACTTTAAAAATAAGTCCTACATTCATTGCTATAGAATTTTTTTCCAAAATGAAGTTTTTACCTAGAATTATTTAAAGCATGACTTTTATAACTATTTTGATCACAATTGTGTATATTTTAAATTTTTAAACATCTAGTAATAGCACATCAAAATTTACAAAATTAAGGCTATGACTACTGATACATGCATGATATATCAATATAGGCAAATTATGTGAGATTAAATTTGAAATATGCTGGTAAATAGTTACAACTCAGGATATTAGTCTTTTTTTTCACTTTTCATGTATTATTAAGAAAACAATTGTTAAATTTCTGCTTTATTTTGTCTTTGTATAATTAATTTGTTCAGTAAATCCAGTCAATCTGTATGAACAAAACAAGTAAGATTTGTTTGGGTTATTTAAAAAACCACATTACTACTTATATTGAGAGTTTCCATTTATAAATGACACTGTAGGCTGCGTTACTCTGCAACACTTGTATATAATCTGCCTTTCATCTGTTTTTCCAACTCCTTGCTGGAAATTTTCTCTTTAAGTGTCTTGTTGACATATGAAACATAAACATTCAAAACAAAAATAATATCTTCCTCCAAATACTTCCCTTTCCTACATTTCATATCTCTGGTAATCACAAATTAGCCTGTTTTAAACCAAGTAAGAACTCCAAGAACCATTCTTATCATTTTAAAAAAATCCAATTTACATCTATTTCCAATTATATAGTTAAAAATGGTATTTCCTGGCCTGTGAAATTCTACTCAATTTACAAGCTTAAACCCAAATGGAATCTTTCTCAGTGAAAACTTTCTCCAGTTTTAAAAGTCTAATTAATAAATTCTTCTTCTATTATCTACATAACTCTACTGGATAATTATCATATGGTTCAATATTTTGCTGTTGATTGGTTAACTACTTTTTTATATACTATTTCTATGTACAGACCACTCCAAAACTTAGTTGTGTAAAACAACAGTTGATTTTACTTTATTCATGATTTAGTGAGTCAGAAATTCAGGAATGATAAAATATGCAGTTTTTGCTTGGGTATCTCATGTGATTGGAGTCAGATGTTAAGTTGGACTGTGGTCATGTAAAATCACCAGCTTCTGCATGTCCAAGATGGCTGGCAGTTGATACTGGCTGTTGCCTGAGAGCTCAGCTGGGGCTCTTAGCTGGATTGCTATATGTAGCCTCTCCAGCATGGTGGTGTCAATTGGATTACTTAGATGGAAGCTGGATTTCCTGGAGCAAATGTCACCAGATAAGGAGGGGAAAAAACATAATGGCATTTTCTGATTTAGCCTTGGAAGTCACCCAGCATCAAGTCTACAGCATTCTGTTGGTTACAGATGACTTCCACAGCCAAACTGATAGGCCTGCCCAGCCCAGGCTTCCTCATTCTCTCTCTATACTTCTAAAATGTGCCTTTCTTTCCATTTCATCTCGTTGGCCTGATTCCTTTCCTTCTTTCAAGTTCTGCCTTAGTATTCTGCCTTGGTACCACATGCTAAATGCCTTTCATGAGGCCATAATTCAGCTACTAGAGCCAGTATCTTTGTAGTTGAGTTTAGAGAGAGATTGGTTCAAATCCCAGGTCTCCCATTTAAAGATGCTGAGAAAGTTATTTAATCCATTTATGGAAAAAAGCACAAATTACATATGAAAAGCTGAACTTACATACCTCATAGGGTTGTTGTGAATACTGAATGAGAAAATAGGAAACAACATTTCATAACACATGGTAAGTAGACAATGTCTGCTATTATAATTATCATATCTTCCTTCTCCAAAGTCCATAACATTTTATTTGTATCTATTTTATGACCATTATAGTCTGTTCTTATGATACAATTCATGGGCTTATTTTATGTTTTCTGCATATTCAGTTAAATGTCTTGTGTGTAAGAAATACCAGGAGACATCTGTATCTCAAACATCAACTCAGAAACCCTCTGGTTCTTTAAGGCTCAGTAAACAAAACACATGAAGACATTTGCAGTTTTTTCTCTATTATTCTTTGTAACCTTTATCTCCTATATTCTGTCTTGCAGAAATTAAAAAAGAAAAATCTGGCAAGCCCTCTTCAGTTCTGAAGGACAAAGGTAATAGAGTTAATTAAATATAATAATAGAAATGTATTAGTAAAAATATCTGAATGAGTACACAGTACATTAGCAGCATCTCCTTTGCAGACATATGAACCAAAGTTACACAGGTCACACTCATATTTTTGAAAACTCATACTTATTTATGTGTCCCTAAAATACTTTCTTCTTGTTCACTATGACCCAGAAAGTTCTCTAATTACAATGTCTGAAAGAGAAAGAAAGAAGAGAAAAAAAGAATTTTCCTTAAGGAATGAAACAATTTTAAAAAGTCTAGAAGGGAAGTGAAGAATATTAGAAAGAACTTGCCTCCATATTGTCTGATTCTCTCCTTTCTATCCATTCATAAAATGTACATTTATTGCATTGCACCTTCCAAGTCCTTGCCTTGGAGGTGGTAATGACAACAAAGATGGCAGAGCTCGGAGTAGGAAGTAGGATTTGGTAATTGGACTTCTGAATCCTGTTATTTTCAAATGCTCTTAGGTATATTTCAAATGCTTCAGTCTGGTCAGACTCTTTATTGCTGTGAAAAAGCATGGAATTCTTATTTAAATTCTATAATTTAGTCTTCTGGATGGACTGACTGACTGCCTTTTCTTTCTGCCCATCCAAACACTAGGCCTCATTCTAAGAATAAGAATAATGTACACATAAAGCATCAAGCTTTCTCTAACTATTTCAACCTTTAGTGAGTTCCTGCTCTTCTGAGTTAACACCCTTATAATAGGTATAATTTATTTCATAAAATATCTATTAATTAATTAAAATGTCACCTGTTTAAACATCAAAATCTGATGTTACCTTTTTATGTAGACTGATCAATACCTCATTCAATAATTATTTATTATGCATCTCATGTGCAGTAATCAATACAGATACTCACCTATACACTAGGAATACAAGAAAGGGATAGTCCATGACCTCGCAGAACTTACAGTATTAATAACATAATTAAAATTATAAGAATCATAGAGGTGATATACAAGGTGCTATGAGACGGTGTAATAAATGATCCTAATCAAGTCTGGGGGATCAGAAATTATATTAAATTAAAATGAGAAGGATGAAAAATTATCCAGGTAAAGTATGGGAATTGTTTGGAAGAAGTGTAAAAGCAGAGAATCCACTCTTTGCCAAGCACACTGATACATATTTGACATATTTTGTTTCTGCAAGGTGTGCCTGCTTCCTCAATTTTTATAAATAATAAAGCTGAGATATAACTTCTTTTCAGGCAAGCTACTTTTCAGGCAAAATAATTAGCAAGCATTTTAATTACTACTTAAAGACTTCACATATCCCAAAGCTTGAACTAGTTGGAAGGGTAATTGTAAAAATCTGTCCTGGAAAATATTATCTGGGGGATTTAAGTCCACTGTGACCACTTCACTAAGTAGGGTCTTGTAATTTCTAGTATTATTTTTCATGTACAATTGCAATTCCCTAGTGAGCATTTTTTCTTCAATGTGAAGTTCTCTACTGTTTCCAAGATGCCACCACAATCACTAAAAAATTATATATATAAAAGTTTGCTGCATATGATTGTTGACCTAAAATACACTTCTTATTCAAGATGCTTTAATACTCTAAAATGTCTTTGTTATATATAAGTTGGATACATTGTTAGAATAATTTTATTTTTTTATTTTTTCTGAATATGATTTATCACTCCTAAAAATCAAAGAAAATTTTTTATTATTACCTATAAGGTTTTGGTACTTGAAAATCCTCTTCAGTCTTATTGTTTTTGGAGAATCTCTTTGAAGTCTGCTGCTGAGCTGTGGTGAAATCACAATACAGCAATTTCACTTGCTAAAACACCACTTATTTCACTGGAGTTATATTTGGTGAATTATTTCTATTAAGCAGCTAAGCAGTTGCCTGCATCCATCAGTTTCTCATATATTCCATCTGCATGTATACATCTAAACTAAAATTAAAGCAATGCTACAATTCTAAAATCAGCATTATTATAGGGAAATAGTTTGTAATCACATTTACTGGAGTAGTGATAACCATGAGTAACTTAAGTTTTCAGAGCAACATTATTAGACTTGTGTCTTTATTTATGATGATATAGAAAATTCTAGGGATGATTATTCCAAAGAAAAAACAGAGAAAGACATGTCTTGCTGACTTATGCTGCTGGTTCGGTTATTGACTTTCCTGGACTAGTGGACTCACTAAGCCTCTTGACACACCTACAGGGGCATAGCCCTGCTTATGTGGATTTGACTACCCAGAAACCAGAAAATCCTGTTAGTGACCCATGGTCCTTGTGGCATTCACTCTTACCCCATTCCACTTGCTTCTAACTGCTGTGCTGACTTATCTGAGGATGGAAGATTCACCTAGGGACTGAGAAACTGCAAACTGAACCACATGAGCAACACAGAGAATAAATAATTTCTTCTTCTCTGAGAATACAATAGTAGCACCTTTAGGTTCTTCTGCTATTGGAGTAGTATGATGGGGCATAAGAATTATTGACTAGTTTGTGTCTCGGGCCTGTGTATGTTTGGATATCATGCCAGAGGATTCTCAACAAAGCATATTTTATTTTATAGCCTAATGACTGCCCCCTCCCGCCCGACTTCTCTTTGTCTTCAACACACTTTTCCTTGGCCATTCCCATTCATCGGCCCAAAGCTAGAGCTAAGGTTGTGGTAATTTGTCTGTGGACTTTGAAACTGATCCCCAGTGATGCTGACGCTATACCCTACCATGGGTGTTCACCCAGTTCATTCCTGCCTTTGTCTCTGGGCCAAACCTGAAACCATCTTCCCATTCCTGTGTGAATTTTTTCTCCATAGCAGCCTTTTTGCTTAGACAATTTTGACTAAGTTCCACTTTGTATCCCAGCACTGTTATATACTTCGTAGGCCCTCATAATCAAGATTCATAGATCTTCCTATAGGCTTTTGGACAACTGCAATGAAACTACCATATTTTCATATAAAAAAGCTTTCCAATATTCTTTTCCTGACAAATAAGACAAATGAGTTGAAAAGTGGCTATAAGAGCTGACTCACTACACTGATTTGTTTCTCTTTTGTAATACATGAGTTCAGTATTTCTGTATAATACTCTCTTCACTTTCTTGTCAGATTTGATATCTCACTCACCTCTTCGGTAGAGAGCGTTCAGACAAGCCTATGGATTTCCAAAATTGACTCAAAACTTTCTGAGGTCAAAAAAGACACTGAGAAAAAATGATCGATAGGCCAGATACAGTGGCTTATGCTTGTAATCCCAGCACTTTGGGAGCCCAAAGTGGGAGGATTGCTTGAGGCCAGGAGTTCAAGACTAGCCTGGGTAACATAGCAAGATCTGTCTCTACAAAAAATACAAAAATTAGTCAGGCATGGTGGTGTATGCCTGTAGTCCTAGTTGTTCAGGAAGTTGAGACAAGAGGACCCCTTGAGTCCAGAAGTTTGAGGCTGCAGTGATAACGCCACTGCACTTTACATTTCAGCCTGGGTGATAGAGACAGATCCTGTCTTGAAGAAAACTAAAAAATAAAATAAAATAAAATAAAATAAAATAAAATAAAAAGAAGTGATAGGCAGGAAAGTAATCAAGTGATGACCCAGGCTGGGAGCAGATGGCATCTTGCCATGAACAAACTTGGAAACAGAAATCACTTTTGGTTTTGAGAACTTTTCCCAAAGTTGAAGTTGATAGGTTCATTACCTTTGAATGCCCTATAAAAGTATAACTGTTACTCAACTCCTTCCTACTTTCTCAATTAAATCAAACTTAGTTCTGCAAGTAAAACTCCAGAGGGGCTGGCTAAAATCACACCTAACAGGTACAATATACACTATTTGGTGATGAGCACACTTATAATTTTGACACAGCCTGTACAAAAGTAATTCATGTAACCAAAACATTTGTGTACCCACAATATTCTGAAATTGAAAAAAAAGAACAGGAAATGGATGAGCAAAGAGTTAGAAAGACAAGCTTGGATCAGCTCAGAGTAGATCTTGAATTTCAAGCCAAGTTTTGACTTTATTAAGCAGATAACAGAAGCCATTAGCAGAGTTCTATACAAGATAGACAAATCTAATGTCCAGTATGGGTTGAACTAAGGGATTATAATGAGTCCGAAGAGCCTCCTCTTTGTAATGTACTCTAAGAAAGATACCATGGCTATAAGATTAATGATACCTATAAGGACCACTCAAACATCTCACAGGGCCAATACTATGTGCCACTTAGTAGTTTGATGCAACCTAGCCTGGAACTTTTCAACTTTGGCCTGAGGATTGCCAGGAGACAAGGCCACCTCAGCACAGATGCAATTCTCAGTAACCTTCAAACGAAACTTACAGTTAGAAGAATAATTTAAACTCCCTTCCTGAAAGAAACAGCTGATAACTGACCTTGACTGAATACAGATATTAAAAAGGGGAATGATCCCCCAAACTCTGAGAATTGTTAGGTTTAGTTAAAGTGGAAACCCGAAAAGTATGTATAGAACATAATGTGTTTAATGGAAAACTTAAATAGTGATAATAAAGCCCATAAAATAAAAGCCACAGGAGTCTGGAAAGTGTAGAATTTGTAAATCTAACTCCTGACCACAGACATCTGCAAATGTCGACATTCCCATCCCCTCTGAAAAAGAAAGACAAATCTACACACCTCCCCTGTCTCTGCAGGTGTTGCTTACTCACCCTGGAGAACCCCTCTAAAAAAACCCAAGGCTTTCCCCTCCCTCATGGTGGACGCTCTTTTGGCCTCCACCTGTCTGCACCCAGATGCTCAAAATAAACAGCATTTTGCTACACCTCAGGCTCCATGTGTCTGCCTCTTGGCTCCCGACCTAACAAGAATAGAGTCTGGATGGAGATGCTCCCAGGCAGGCAGTCAACCAATGTGCTGACTGTATCTGTCCCATGCCACCTGCTTGCCTTTGCTATCTGCCTTGCAAAAGCACTGCCAAAATAAACTGCTTGTGCATCAGACAATGTCTTTAATGTGCATTG